AAATGGTTCAAGTTACGATTTTTAATTGTTTAAACAAGCTTAAATCAAAAAATGCACAAAAGATGATCATGTATACCTCCAATGCACCACAACTCCAAAAATGGTACAGCAAAGAGGTCTCCAACTACACACCAAGGTTCTGACTTTGTCAAACCATGAATTAACACCAAAGCTTAGACCTTTCACCAACAAAATGACTTCTTGGAGCCTCCAATGGTATGATCAAGGCTCACACCACCTCATACCCCAAGTAAACAGCTCCAAGACAGCAACTCCACCTCACCACAGAGGCCACAATCTCAGAAATGAGACACTTCACACTCTCACTAGACTAACTCTCACGAGCTATAGTGTTTTGGTAGAGAGAAAAGGAGGAAATATGATTTCTTTGGTGAGTTTACAAAGGAAGGAGCCAAAGAATCACATGAAGGCTGGTCAGCTGCTCAAGACACTCACGTAGCATAGCATATGGCCTAGGATTTTGGGCCAAAGTGAGTATTTATAGCTCACTTAAAATTAAACACACAGTATTAACGAAAATAGCTACGCTTATCATTTTAATCTCAAACTTTAAATTCTGAACCTACTCATTTTTCTAAGATTTATCTTTCTTTTTTTTTGGAGCACCTTTCCGGTACGCGCTTTTCCATAGCCAGTACCAGTTCAAACCCCAATTCTCATTATTTTGACTTGAAACTCGTCTTACAAGTCCTATATATCATTCTAGTAATTATCATGCACTTATAATAATTTTTCGGGGTACTTTTTCGGTACGCATTTATACCGACTAACAGAACCGGTATCTGCACTTTTCTTCCGAAAAGCGACTTTCAGCATTCTTAATCACCTACTATAATTATTAGCGCCTCATAATAATTATTAGGGTCAATTATGGAATCATTTCCTAATTTCACATAATTAATTAATTAACTTCCTTAATTAACGGTGCAGGTTCTTACATTCACACCATCTTTTTAGGATTTTGTCCTTAAAATCAAAAAACATACATGTCCCGAAGCGCGGGATACTGACGGAGAAGCTCGTCCTCTCGCTTCCAGAATTACCCTTCAGGAATTCTTCCCGTTCATCGTACTCTGACCATCGAAATGATCTCTCTCCTCAGCTGCTTCTCGCCACGATTGAGAAACTTGAGTGGTCCGACGGGAGTTTTCAAGTTCTCCCGAACCTCCACAACATCTTGTTGTACCACGTGCGAAGGATCCGCTACAAACTTGCGAAGTTGAGTAACGTAAACACGTCGTGGGTGTTGGTCAAGTTCAGAGACAAAGCAAACCGGTAGGCAACAGGTCCTACTCTACCATGTTGGGTGTTAGGGTCTTATTCCATGACTCTAACCTCAACAAGACTAGCAATATAAACAATATCCTCAAGATAAATTCATATTCAGTTCAAGGTGCTAAATCATATTCATGTTCAATTCCACCAATACATATTAGTTAACCAACCCATTTACATAGTAACGTACCTTAGTTCACGTACACCTGCAAAAATTTTAATTTCAATAACATAATAACTAAAAACTCTATGTAACGGTATACCTCAATCTCCATGTTATCTGCAAAATTGAGAGTTAGTCAAAGGTGAAATAACATTGATATATTACCACAGTTCATTATACTTATTTCATGCTTAACATTATCCATGGCGTTAACATGTCAACTACTCATGACACATATCAATAATCACATAAAAATCCTAGAGTCATAGAGACCACTCAACTCACCACTACTTGCACATGCAATGCCTTGCATATACAAGACACGCGTGGCCTTGCCACAAGGTTCAAGTGTTACACACTTACTTTCCTTGAAGAGAATTTTCCATTCTCAACAAAGAACCATCACCAAAAGTAATGGCGTAAGGCATCATACCTTACAACAAATGACCAGTGCTCCCAAGGAGACACGCTCGGTCGAATGAAGTCTTCCGCCGAAAGACTCCTACAAAATTTCTTCAGCTCAACCAGCTCTGGTGGCGACATTCGGTATAGAGCTAATAATAAGGCCCCACACCAGGCAACAATTCAATGGAGAACGCTATCTCCCGCTGCGGCGGGCACTCAGGAATCTCCTTAGGAATACCTCGAGGAACTCCTTCGCCACAGGAATGCCAGTGAGATCCTCCTGTATTCCACTTACCAAACCTCCCAAACAGAACATAACCGAATGCCCTTGCACTGAGGGCCCTCTTAGCCAGCAATAATGATATAGGTAAGGCGAGGAACTGGCTGTGGAAACACGTGGAGACATCACAACTCTCTAGGCACAACATACAACAATCAATCAATCAATCGTCACCCAACTATTGAACAATCCATCCATGCCAAGGATGATTTTCAAATAGCCATCGGCAATCCAATCAGATCTACCGAGTAATCACGGCCATCCAGTGGCGGACCGACATGGGGGGCTAGGGATGGCCCCTGCCCCCCTAAAACTCTTAGAAATTTTTTTATATATGGATGCCTGAGTGAATTATTGAGGACAAGACAAGCACAAGTAATGTGGACTATAGAAATTGCTAACGAGTGCATGGATAGTGGCAATTAGAGAAGTTCATGGTGCTTCACTGTAAGGTAAATGAGAAGCCACATGGATAAAAAAAGATTTTGAAAACATAAACCAAACAAATAAAACAATAATTAATAATTGATAAATAATTAAATAAGATATAGAAGTAGAAACACTTCGACAGAAACTGTTGAATGGTTCAAATTAAAAAATTTAACTGTGTAAAATAAGACAAAAATTTAAAAATATAACCATTGTCTTATTAAAAAATAAAACCATTTAGATCTATATGATATAAAGCCGAATATAAATTGACAAAAATATAATATATATTAAGGCAAAATATCACGATACATTTTATAATATAGTAACTTCATTCAAAATATATTGTTAGAATCATATTCGGTTTACATTTTACAGTAAATATTTTTATTTATAATATAATATTTTTTGTTTTCGCCTCCCGTCATATTAATTTCTGGGTCCGCCACTGCGGTCATCCCACTGAAACACGACATCTCGATGTACAGTGGAGGTATCACACTTTTTCCGGTGGCGGTGGTCAACCGCAACGGTGGAGAAGGCACATACATGGGCAACTCAAGCCCCACAACAATCGAGGTTGCAAAAAAATGAGTCTCCCCGGGATCAAACAAAACATCAACAACAATCCCCCAATGGGAACATTACCTCTGACAAGGTTTGGAGCTCAGTCCGACAACTGACGGTCCACAGTGTAAACTCGCCCCGAGGCAGGTGGCACATCTGGTGCCGCTGTAGGTGGAAGGGGAACCATCTGAAGTGGAACTGTCTGAACTGATGCAGCTCTCGCCATCGACGACGGACACTCCCTAGCATAGTGGCCCTCCTTGCCACACTGGAAACAAATGGTCTGGCCGGTAGCACACGGCCCCAGATGAACCCTCCCACATCCCGTGCATCTGGGAGTAAGAAGTCTCGCCGCACTCCCTTGCGTTGACGTCCCCTTGAATTGACTAGGTGCCTGCCTAGCAGCCAACTGTTTCTCTTTGCCTTTTCCAGCAAACTTCCTGTCTTTCCAGGAAGTGGAACTATCAGCTCCTTTCGTCTCAGCAATCTTGGCCCTCTTGGCCTTACTCGAGTTGCAGAAGTCCTCGATGTCCTGACACTACTGCACCAATGTCCCAAAGTCTCTCGAAGCAGAACTAGCAAGGTAACCAGCAACATCATCACTAAGTCCCCTGCGGAACTTAGCAGCCAAGAAAGTCGGAGTAGGCCTCGCCATCCTGAAGTGCGCAAACTTCACCAACTGGTTGAACTTGGTCAGGTACTCGTCAACGGACAACGAGCCCTGAACCAACCTGTCGAACTCTCCCTGCTTCCTCTCCTGTGCATCATACGGGAAGTACTGACCCAGAAAGCAATCCTCAAAGAAATGCCACGTCATCACATGGCCCTGCATCTCGAAGACATGAGAAGTGTTCGTCCATCACTCATGGGCATCGCCCTGCAGCATATAAGTAGCGAACATCAGCTTCTGCGGATCAGTGCACTGCATGACCCGGAAGATCTTGTCTAGCGCCTGAAGCCATCGCGCTGCCGCAATAGGGTCATAAGACCCATCAAAGGAAGGCGGCTTATGCTTTCTGAAAGCGTTCAGCCATCGGTCAATCACGTCACGGTCCTCAGCAGGCTCCAGATAGGGTTCCATCACCCCAATGACATGAGTAGAACTACCAATGTGACTCAGGGAATCAACCTGAACACTAGGTGGAGGCGGCGGTGGTGGCGGTGGCGGAGGGAATTGACCAACAGCAAGACCAGCCCTCATCTCCTCCAACATGACCTGAATCATGGTCATGTTTGACATCTGGTTCGCCTCAAGGACATCCTCAGTGGTCCTCTTGTTTGCCTCACGAACATCCTCCACGGCTTTCTGGTTCGCCTCTCTAACGGCGTCCATCATTACCACGTTGGCCAATCTAATGGCCTCCTGCATCTCAGCCAATGTAGTTAGGATTGGGTTGGGTTGACCCTCGACAGTCTCTCATGTTCTCCTGGATCCTACCATGACTCTGCACAAGTTACACAAATTATGAGTTGATCAGACCCACGCAATGTGATTACATATGCATCATCATAAATAAAACCAACTTTGCAAACACACAAGACAGACACAACCAAACATCTAATCATTGCAATATATACAGGCTTTTCCCTTGAACCGTTGCTCTGATACCATAAAATGTAACACCCCGTGTATACCCGGTATGTTAACATTACATCGTATTAAACTGCGCTTAATTAAAAATGCGGAATATTCTTTTTCTTTTCAATTATGACGTCATTATACTTAGCCAAGTTGATTACTTAATCAATTTCATAAAATCATCGCCTGTATGTAAATTGCAATAGACATCTAACTGAAATACCTCAATATATAAATAAAGTGAGTATCTAACATCACGGATCTACAACTCGTAACCCGGACAATAATCCTGATACATTATTACAACTCCAAATAAAGCAAGACATAAACAAGTCTATGTGGCATGGACAATCCCCATGCTCACCAAATCACAGCGTCTCAACTAGATAATCCAAAGTCATGATGAAGCTAAAAGCATAAAAGCAACATGCATAACCAGCATCCAACAAGTCAGCATATAATAACAGCAATATCTAACTCAGCTCCGGCCTCCTGCCGCCTGAGGTCTCAACCCCAACATTACTTGAACCTGAAATAAGCATTCCCCAAACGTGGGGTGAGATCTCTAAACCAAAAATCTCAGTAAGACAAGGGGTCCTCAAGGATTCTTCATCCCAAGCTCACTTACATGTGCAATATAAGTTCTAAAAGCATTAATTCAATATAATTTCCAAAATAGTGCAATGCAGCAGATAATCATGTCATGTGGGTTATAACTATTCTACTGATCAGAGAAATGCAGGAATACGTCTATTACCCACACAGTATCAGCCCATGTTGTATCAGCCCATGCTGTACCCACCCCTAAAGGACCACCCCATGGCTTCCCTTTAAGGTAAACACCACATAAATATCATACAACAATTGCACTTAACAGCTCCATAGCATTTCAATAAAACAGTACATGAAAACACATCATGCATATAACCATCCCCCCGTGGGACATGGTGGAACCAACAATGGCTAAACCGAGGACACGAAAGCTTACCTTCTAAAATAGCTATCCAAACCAAGAGTTCACACAAGCTCAAGGCCCACAAACAGCACATTCACAATCTGCCCATACCATAATTAATCATCAATAATCATAGCACAGATTACACTAAGTGATTAAGTCTTTCTTACTCATTTTAACTCATTACATGTTGTTTCTGCATGAGGTATTCGAATATTCCACGAGTAGTATTCGAATACTCCAGCTCTCCAGAAAGTATTCGATTACTTTCATTTAAATATTCGAATACTACCAAGTATCCGAATACTTTTTCCCCCAGTATCCGAATACCACAGTATTCGAATGCCAAACCCCACTGTATTCGAATACTTTCCAGTATTTGAATACTTCTTCAAAGGTATCCAAATACTTTTCTTCCCAGAAAAGTATTCCCATACTCCTACAAAGAGTATTCGAATACCAATTTAAAACTACCAATGAAAATATTTACTAAATAATCTAAGATTTTACTATGTTAAACTAGACATCTCAAGCTTTCCAACGACATATTTTATGCCTCAATCGGAGTTGTATAACTCTAGTTAAGATTTTTGCAAAGTTCCTACAACAAGTTGAATTTCCAGCAATAGGGTCTCAACTTCAAACATACACTGAGAAAAATCCATTTATCCAATGGATCTGAAAATTTACAGGGTTGTAGCCCTATGTGTTAGCTTCACATAGGTCCAAACCTCACTCAATTTATAGCTCTGTAGCTCAAGATATCGCACTTTTACTAAACTAGGTCGTTGTTGTCTCGCGAAGTATTCGATTACTGCATTTTCCCATAAGAGTATTCGAATACTGCCCGAAAAGTATTCGAATACTTCTTCGATAGAATGCAGAAAACTGAGTTTTAAAGTTAAAATCGATCTCCAATGATCCAAACTCGATCTGGAGTCCAAGAACTCCTTAAACAGATGTTTATTAACATGTTATGAACCTAGAAACACATTCCTTTTATCAAATGGTTCAAGTTACGATTTTTAATTGTTTAAACAAGCTTAAATCATCAAAATGCACAAAAGATGATCATGTATACCTCCAATGCACCACAACTCCAAAAATGGTACAGCAAAGAGGTCTCCAACTACACACCAAGGTTCTGACTTTGTCAAGCCACGAATTAACACCAAAGCTTAGACTTTTCACCAACAAAATGACTTCTTGCAGCCTCCAATGGTATGATCAAGGCTCACACCACCTCATACCCCAAGTAAACAGCTCCAAGACAGCAACTCCACCTCACCACAAAGGCCACAATCTCAGAAATGAGACACTTCACACTCTCACTAGACTAACTCTCACAAGCTATAGTGTTTTGGTAGAGAGAAAAGGAGGAAAGATGATTTCTTTGGTGAGTTTACAAAGGAAGGAGCCAAAGAATCACAGGAAGGCTGGTCAGCTGCTCAAGACACTCACGTAGCATAGCATATGGCCTAGGGTTTTGGGCCAAAGTGAGTATTTATAGCTCACTTAAAATTAAACACACAGTATTAACGAAAATAGCTACGCTTATCATTTTAATCTCAAACTTTAGATTCTGAACCTACTCATTTTTCTAAGATTTATCATATTTTTATTTTATTTTTGGAGCACCTTTCCGGTACGCGTTTTTCCATAGCCAGTACCAGTTCAGACCCCAATTCTCGTTATTTTGACTTGAAACTCGTCTTACAAGTCCTATATATCATTCTAGTAATTATCATGCACTTATAATAATTTTCTGGGATACTTTTTCGGTACGCATTTATACCGACTAGCAGAACCGGTATCTGTACTTTTCTTCCGAAAAGCGACTTTCAGCATTCTTAATCACCTACTATAATTATTAGCGCCTCATAATAATTATTAGGGTCAATTATGAAATCATTTCCTAATTTCACATAATTAATTAATTAACTTCCTTAATTAACGGTGCGGGTTCTTACATATTGCACATGTAAGTGAGCTTGGGGTGGAAGATCCTTGAGGACCCCTTGTCTTACTGAGATTTTTGTTTAGGGATCTCACCCCATGTTTGGGGCACATATTTCAGGTTGAGGTAATGAGGGGGGTTGAGACCTCTGGCGGTAGGAGTCCAGAGCTTAGCTGATATTTTTGCTTATGCTGATTATTTTTGGATGCTGGATTATGTTTGTTGCTATTATGCTATTAGCTTCATGTTATGAATTATTGAGATGAGACTCTGTTGGTTATGTTGTTTTATTTGGTGAGCATGGGGATTGTCCATGCCACGTTGACTTGACTATGTCTTAGTTTAAATTCGAGTTATAATAATGTATCATGATATTGTCCAGACTATGTGTTGTAGATCCGTGACATAGATACTCACTTGCTTGTATATGAGGTATTTCAGTTAGCTGTCTTTTGCAATTTACATACAGGCAATGTTTTGAGAATGAATTAAGTAATTCAACTTGGTAATGATAATGACGTCATAATTGAAAAGAAAAAGATATTCCGCATTTTTAATTAAGCGTGGCTTAATACGATGATATGTTAACAAACCGGGTATACACGGGGTGTTATATTTTATGGTATCAGAGCACTTTCTAGGGAAAAGCCTGTATGTATTGCAATAACTTAGGATGTTTTGTTGCGAGTCTGTCTTGTGTGTTTCCTTTGATGGGTTTTACTATGATGACGCATGAGTGACCACATCGCGTGGGCCTGATCAACTCATTCTTTGTGTAACTTGTGCTGAGTCATGGTAATACCTAGGAGAAACCTAGAGACAAATGAGGATCAGCCGGATCCTGTCCTGACTGCATTGGCTGAGATGCAGGCGGCTAGACTAGCCGATCAGGAGGCCACTAGATTGGCCAACTTGGCGATGATGGACGTCGTTCGAGAGGCAAACCGGAAGGCCACAGAGAATGTTCTGGAGGCGAACAGGCTGGCGAACATGACCATGATGAGGGTCATGTTGGAGGAGATGAGGGCTGGTCCTGCTGTTGGTCAGTTTCCTCCACCACCACCTCCACCGCCACTGCCTCCACCTATTCTTCAGGATGAGAGCCTGAGTCACATTGAGGGTGTCACTCCTCTTACTGGGGTGATGGAACCCTACTTGGAGCTTGCTGAGGATCGTGATGTGCTTGACCGTCGGCTTAATGCTTTCCGTAAGCATAAGCCACCTTCTTTTGATGGATCGTATGATCCTATTGCTGCTGCGAGATGGCTTCAGGCGTTGGATAAGATCTTACGGGGGATGCAGTTACCGACCCGCAGAAGCTGATGTTCGCCACGTATATGCTGGAGGGCGATGCGCATGAGTGGTGGATGAACACCTCTCACGCCTATGAGATGTAGGGTCATGTGATGACGTGGCCATTCTTCGAGGACTGCTTTTTGGGCAGATATTTCCCTTATGATGCGCAGGAGAGGAAGCAGGGGAAATTTGACAGGTTGGTACAGGGCTCGATGTCTGTTGGCGAGTACCTGGCGAAGTTTAATGAGCTGGTTAAGTTCGCTCACTTTCGGATGGCTACGCCTACTCCAACCTTTTCGGCTGCTAAGTTCCGCAGGGGACTTACTGAGGAGATTGCGGAGTGTAACACCCCGTGTTAACCCGGTTTGTTAACATGTCATCCTATTAAGCCACGCTTAATTAAAATATGCGGAATAACTTTTTACTTTTCAATTATGATGTCATTAACTTAGCCAAGTTAATTACTTAATCAATTTCATAAAAACATCGCCTGTATGTAAATTGCAAAAGACAGCTAACTGAAAATACCTTATGAATAAATAAGTGAGTATCTAAGTGAATAAATGATGAATCGTACCTCAAGCCAATCTTCAGCAACTTCCTCCTGCCCATCTCTGGTTATTCGTTGTTTAAATAAGCCGTATTTGTATCTCAATCCGTAACCCCATGCTGGATAGTTCAAGGTTGCCAAAGAATACAAGAAACACGAAGCAAGACGCCCAAGACCCCCATTTCCAAGTGCAGTATCTGGCTACTATTATTGGCCAATTAAAATGAATTACCACAACTCTAAGAGAGATAATGCAACCAAAAATTAAAATTTAAATTAGATTGTCCTGTTGTTGTAGGTGCTCATTAAAAGAAAAAGTTTTATAAGCTTGCAACATTTGGGGGGAAAATTGTAGAAAAAGGAACTTGATAAGAATCCCAAGTACATCAGTTGACTGTCTCAACTGTTGAACTTATAGCAAATATACAATCAGAAAAAATCCATCAGGACCTTTTTGAATTATAACATTCGTTTCGGAAAACAGTTTGTTTATCTGAAGAGGTCGTGCTATGTTGACCTATAGGCTTCTGGTTGGACAAACAGTAATTCAAGGGAGAAGTATAGCATGCGACATTTTAGAATTAAAAATAAGAAAAGTAGATACAGTAGGGAATGCCACACCTGGTGTACCACGTTCTCTAATTTATACCCGCACTTGCTCAAAGCCTCTGCATAGGGACCAATTAGCTCTAGATTGCCAATTGCATTTAATAATGCTCTACCCTGCACGACAGAATGATAGATAGAAATAAATATTAGATGCCAGAAACATTCCAAGCAATTCAAATCATTATGATAGCACCGAACCTGTAAGAATTCCATTGAAAGGTAATATGCCTGCTTAACATTCAGCTTCTCATAGTAATCATAAGTAGCATTCCAGTTTATTATGAGAGCATCACGAACACTTTGTGCAGTTGCAAAGAAAGCTTGTGGAAGTTCAAAATTCTCTGGAGAAAACAATGGAGTGAACTCTGCATGGTACTTAATACTCGAGGCAATAGATGAAGCATCTGGCATGAGAGAACTGAGAGAGGTTGTAGCTTCTAAAACACACAACAAACAGAAATGATTAATCAGATCGCATTGAAGTTGGACACAAGATAACTTGTTAATAACAAACAAAACAGTCAAGGGTAATCTCTGACAAACAACTCCCTTCCCTGTTCTAAATACATAGAGCGTAATATATATGACTCATATGTCCATCTACTTACCAACTTTTTGTGGGAGAACAATCCAATTCCCTCCAGTTCCATGTTTCTCTATGTATTCCTTTAGCTTAACATCTTCTTCAGGAGATCATGGTCCTTTCTTTACAATTGTCTTGTCACAGCAAGGAAAAAGAGAGCTCCAAATGGGAAAAAAAAAGGTTTAGCAAGAGTTGCTTACAACAGGATCAGGAGCATCTTCTTGCTTGCACATAATCCATGGGACACCAGTATCTAAACCAACAGCCATTTGAGCAGCCCATTTTGTTTAAGCTTTTCCAGGAGCACCAATTTCCCACTCCACTGGTCCAAACTCATTCTCTATCTGTCATTCAATTGAGAAAAGAAAAAGAAAAAAAATGTTATTAATTAAGTATCATTCTTGTAATTGATTGGCCTGAAACTTTATAGTAATAAATAAAACATAACAAAATGCAAAAAAAATAAAAAAAAATGAAAGCAATAATAAGAATAAATATCTTATTTAAATCCCATTTCCTTACCTGAGATAGAATTATTGGACCTCCATGCGCCTTGAATTTGAGGTAATCCGTGGAGGTGATACCCTCAACTGAAAGGTCCTCAGAGCTCACTCTTACAAATTCCCAAACTCCAGGATTTGGCCTTACTGAAAGGGAAACGTACGGTGGATCAATGACAGCTTCCTGCAAGTTTCAGGTGCAAAGCATTAATATCCAAATACTAATGTTGTCTCATTGCAACAACATAAGGTGAATTAAAAACAAAGAAAAAAAACCTGTGTAGAGCTCAATATGAAGCCAAGATTTCCTTCCAATACTTGATTCCTGTCACTATTGTCATTTATAACTTGCTCCATTTCTTCCATCAGGTGATGAAGTTTTATAATCCTTCTCCCATTTTCAATGTACTTTGCAAAGCACCTCTTGATATGGTACCTACTTTGCCTCAATGCATCAGGCATGTTATCAGGTGGTGCAGAAGCCATTTCAAGAAATAGATAATGATAATAAAAAAAAGGTAAATTAAGGTTTTGAAACTCGTTAAGGAAGAAGATATGGTTGTTGCTCTAAGGAGATGTGTCTCAATTTATATGCATAGATCCATGAGGTAACTTTCTAGGGTGGAATTGGCCCCACTAAAGGAGGTAGGCATGCATGGATTCAAGTGTTGGAGAAAGAACATTTGCAAAGGCCAATGTGAATAAAATTTCTAACTGGGAATTATAGGTATCATTCTTTTCTTCTTTCTGTGTCGTTATGGTTATTATATATGTTTGTGTGTCACCATGAGAAAAAGAATATGGAAAGCTGCCATCTTCAAGGCATTTGCTTTTTGTGTCTAATGTACACAAAATGGATACCTAGTAGCACAAAAGCATAACGTTTTGTCAAAAAAGATTAAATTTACAAAAAAAATGAAGATGGCAGCTCCAAAAAAAATTAAGGGAACACAGCTAAAAAAAACAATCTTTTAAATATTAAATTTACAATACCTCATGTTGTCAAGCTCACGTATTAGGCCGTTGTCAACAGACATTGATCAACTTAAAAAGCATCTTAAAGAGATCAAAGACGTGTTCCAAAGAGAGTTGCAGTACCACACCCTAGGTGATGATCTGCTTTGGATGCTAAAGGAGCTTAAGCCTGCGGTCAACGATTTGAACGATTTGGTGGAGGGACTCTCCGCCGCTGACTTGCGACAGGAGAGTATACCACCCCTTTTTTTGGAGATTTCTCCACGTGGTGATGGATTACTCGTTTGTCTTCATATTCAGCCCTACTCGGAATCGACTCAGACTCACTCACCAAATCAAGAAAGCCATAGAGGATCTCCAATATGTTGCGAGCAAGGGGAAAGGCTTGCCCCCATCTGAAGAAGCATGGAAGAAGGGGAGAAAGCTGGACCCTGGATTTGATTTAGAAGCGGTTGAGAGAGAAAAGAAAAAGATTGAAATCATAGAATGTGGGGAAAAAAGAACGATTAAGAACAGGAAAAAGAAAAAGGACACGATTTTGTACTGATATGAAATCTGAAAAAAAAAAAAAGAACAGTAAGAACGGGAGAAAGAAGAAGCATGCGATTTTGCAATTCATAGAATAATGAGAAGCGTGTAGGTTTTGGGTAGGTTTTGGTAAACGTTTAACAATTTCAACGGAGAAAGTAGCTGAACATTAATTCATTAATTGAGTTGTCAGTTTTTTAAATTTGAAAATAAGATGAGCTGTTTCCAATAAAGATGAGAACAGATTTGCACCATTGACTTTTGGTAACAAATCGTGGCCATCAATTTGGAGTTCAGATTATAATTTTTTTTTGAATTTTTTTATTCCCTGAATTACCAAAGAAGGAAACTTTTTGAATTGTGCAGTGTGAATGCAAACCTGAAAGTGAAGGAGAGGCAGACATGTGTCAAAAGTTTCCAAAGAATGGCTTTGTCTTAGAATATAAGATACTCGTTTGTCTTCATATTCAGCCCTACTCGGAATCGACTCAGACTCACTCACCAAATCAAGAAAGCCATAGAGGATCTCCAATATGTTGCGAGCAAGGGGAAAGGCTTGCCCCCATCTGAAGAAGCATGGAAGAAGGGGAGAAAGCTGGACCCTGGATTTGATTTAGAAGCGGTTGAGAGAGAAAAGAAAAAGATTGAAATCATAGAATGTGGGGAAAAAAGAACGATTAAGAACAGGAAAAAGAAAAAGGACACGATTTTGTACTGATATGAAATCTGAAAAAAAAAAAAAGAACAGTAAGAACGGGAGAAAGAAGAAGCATGCGATTTTGCAATTCATAGAATAATGAGAAGCGTGTAGGTTTTGGGTAGGTTTTGGTAAACGTTTAACAATTTCAACGGAGAAAGTAGCTGAACATTAATTCATTAATTGAGTTGTCAGTTTTTTAAATTTGAAAATAAGATGAGCTGTTTCCAATAAAGATGAGAACAGATTTGCACCATTGACTTTTGGTAACAAATCGTGGCCATCAATTTGGAGTTCAGATTATAATTTTTTTTTGAATTTTTTTATTCCCTGAATTACCAAAGAAGGAAACTTTTTGAATTGTGCAGTGTGAATGCAAACCTGAAAGTGAAGGAGAGGCAGACATGTGTCAAAAGTTTCCAAAGAATGGCTTTGTCTTAGAATATAAGATTCCCTGAATTACCAAAGAAGGAAACTTTTTGAATTGTGCAGTGTGAATGCAAACCTGAAAGTGAAGGAGAGGCAGACATGTGTCAAAAGTTTCCAAAGAATGGCTTTGTCTTAGAATATAAGATGTAACGAAACAAAAGCAAAAGAAAATACTTAAACAAATCACTTCTACGGCTCGACTCCTGGGTTCATAAATAAATAAATATATATATATATATATATATATATATATATATATATATATATAGCAACTTCGACCGGCGTGAATGCCCTAAATTGGGTACACAGTGACCGAATTCAAAGTGCTGAAATTTCATTTGGAGTCACACAAATCGATGCAACCAAACCATAAGAATGACAAAACAAAAAGCCATCTACAGGGGAAGATATCGCACAGTATACAAATGTTTTCTTTAAATTAACATAGGTTCTGAATCAACAGTAACATATAACAAGGATCATAATCAATATTATGGATTTACAAAGGGGTAGTTAAATTTACCTTGGATACTTTTGAGAACAGAAAAAATGGAAGCTTTAGAGGTTGAGAAAACACTCAAATCCTTCAACAATGGGTTCTCCTTCAACAAGACTAGAGCTTTAATGGTTGGGTGATGTTTCAATGGAGGAGAGGAGGAAAAAGATGGAAACTTTAGAGAATAAGGCTAAGACTCCAAGAAACTCCAAAGGGAAGCCACACTCAGCTGCTGAGTTTCTTTAAAAAAAAAAAACCTAGGATTTTGATCCCTTTTTCTATTTATATTGTCACTTAAGTTAAACTAGCAGTATTAGTTTAATTAGTTCCTCTCTTCGTTTAGCTCCAAAATTTTAGATTCTTAACCTAGATATTTTTGTAGGAATTTTTATATTTTTATTTTATTTTTTCGCAACACTTTTCCGGTACGCATTTTTCTCGCTGTCGTTATTAGTTCTGACATCAGCTCTCATTATTTTGACTTCAAACTTGACATACTAGTCCTAAATATTAATCTAGGAATATTCATGCATTTATTATAATTTTTCGGGATACTTCACCGGTATGCACTTATACCGCGAAGCAGAACCGGTATCTGCACTTTTCGTTAGAAAAATGACTTTCAACATTATTAATCCCTTACCATAATTATTTAAGCTCACTCATAATTATTCAAGGTCAATTATGGAATTTATCTCTTAGCTCATAATTAAATTAATTAAATTTCTAATTTAACAGTGTGGGTTCTTACATTCACCCCACCTTTTAAGAATTTTGTCCGCAAAATTAGAAACATACATGTCCCGAAACTCGGTGTATTGCCGGAGAAGCTCGTCCTTTCATTCCCAAGTACACTCCTCGGGAGTTCTTCCTGTCTATTGCACTTTGACCATAGGAATAACTCTGCTCCTCAGCTTCTTCTCGCCTCGATCGAGAATCTTGAGTGGTCCGACAGGAGTCTTTAGGTTCTCCTGAACCTCCACATCATCGGGTTGCACCACGTGCGATGGATCTGCTATGTACTTCCGAAGCTGAGACACGTGAAACATGTCGTGGATGTTGGCTAAATTCGAAGGCAAGGCAAGCCGGTAGGCAACAGGTCCTACTCTACCAATAATCTGGTAGGGCCCAATGAATCGCGGGCTCAGCTTCCTCACTCCGAGGGCCCGACCAACACCGGTGACAGGTGAAAGCCTCACAACACTAGGGGAAAGAGTGTTGATTGCTTGAGAAGAGTCACTCTCAACAATAACTTTGGTGATGCCTAGCTGCCAAGCTAGATCAAGCCCATGAAGAATAACCCAAAGTTCAGCATGTAGGGGAGAGCAAGTGTAACATCCCGTATATATCCGGTAGTGTTATCATTACATCGTATTAAGCTATGCTTAATTAAAAATGTGGAATATTCTTTTTCTTTTCAATTATTACGTCATTATCAATTACCAACTTGATTACTTAATCAATTTCATAAAAATATCGCCTGAATGTAAATTGCAATAAGACATCTACTGAAATACTTCAATATAATATATAAAGTGAGTATCTAAGTCACGGCATTACATCACGTAATCCGGACAATATCCTGATACATTAATACAACTCTAATAAAAGCAAGACATAACAAGTCTACGTGGCATGGACAATCCCCATGCTCACCAAATCAACAGCGTCTCAACAAGATAATCATAATCATATAATGAAGCTCAAAGCATAAAAACAGCATGCATATCCAGCATCCAACAAGTCAGCAATGCCATCAATATCTAACTCAGCTCCGGCCTCCTGCCGCCTGAGATCTCAACATTACCTAACCCTGAAATAAGCATTCCCCAAACGTGGGGTGAGATCTCTAAACCAAAAATCTCAGTAAGACAAGGGGTCCTCAAGGATCTTCCACCCCAAGCTCACTTACATGTGCAATATAAGTTCTAAAAGCATTTATATCAATATCAGTTCCGAAACTATGCAGTGCAACAAATATTCATGCCATGTGTGTTTATCACTATCTACTAGCCAGAGAAATTCAGGAATATGTCTATACCTACATGTAGTACAAGGAACACCGCTTGCACCTCACCCACAGCCTCACCATCTTGTATGTACCACATACTCAGGCTTACCGTATAGGTGGAACACCACATGCATATCATAAAGGCACTAGCATATAACAGCTCAACAGCATTTCCAAAACATCAAAAGCATGTAACACAGCATGCATATAACCATACCCCCATGGGACATGGTGAAACCACAACATGGCTAAACCGAGAACACAAAAGCTTACCTTGCAAGCTCACTATCCAATGCCAAGAGTCCTCACAGCTCAAGTCCAACACACAGCAGATCATAATCTGATTTAGGACCAGCAAGTGTATCAACATACATAACTCAAAAGCATTAACATAAAGACTATGTTCTCCTTTAACAATTTACGTCTTAAGGCTTCCAACAAAGCCACAAGCCCTTAATCACATGATTCTGACTTAGTTCATTAATTACAGAAGTTCAACTTCATCAATCTAGGGTCTCCAAACCCCCAATAGCCTACTGTCCTCACAGTACAGCTACTGTTCTACGAAATCCCAGAATATCCGGATATTCCTCGGGTCAATATCCGGATATGCAATATCTGGATATCTCACTGACCATATCCGGATATACAATATCCGGATATCCAGATTCCCATATCCGGATATCCAATATCCGGATATCCAGATTCCCATATCCGAATATCAAATATCCGGATATTTCACGGGCAGCTATCCGGATATTTCACGACAGAATGCAGAAACTGCATTTCGTGAAGATATCCTTCCAAGGTTGGGCTTTTACCGATAAAAGACACTTAAACATGCCTTTCTAGGTGTGTTTGACATTACCCAACATTAAGTTATCATCTTGTAGCCTTTACATGCATCAAGGTTTCATTTTTAAGCATAAAAACTCAAGATCAAGGGTTGAACCACTCACCCAAGCACAACCAGCCAACAAAGGGTGCTCTTGGAGCTCACAAGACCACTCCAAGGTTCTGACCAGGACAAGATACGAAAATGGAGCAACAAGGTGGGATCTTTCTTTCACAAGGTAGCTTCTTGGAACATCAAGCACTAAGAAAATGAACCCCTTCACCCCAACTCAGAACACAGCCCCCAAACACCACCAACACAGTGGCCACCACTCAGAAACAAACCCTCACACTTAACCTCAAGGGTCACTCTTACTCAAGTAAGGCATTTTGATGAAGAAAAGTGGAAGAAAAGGCTTCAAACTCACACAAGGAGGCACCAAAGCAATGGAACAGTGCTCAACAACCTGACCAGCCAACATTCACGCTCAAAAGTCTGTTTTCTAGGGTTGAGTGCCATTAAAGAGAGTATTTATAGCCCAAACACAATTAAACACACAGTATTAACTTTAATTGCTAAGCTTAGCATTTT